TACGAAAAGAAATATTTGATAATGATCAAATATTTCATAAGGAATATAGTAATTCATTATCTTTACTTGATCAACAACTCCAGTCTATGAGACAATCATTACAAGCCTATAGATCATTTTGGTTAATGTTACCAGAACAAATATGTAAATCTAATGGACATTCTATTTCAACTAAGAAAACATGTTGGACAGGAAGTTCAATTTCGCTCGATGACAAGTAGAAGAGAATTCTTATTTTTGTTTTTTTTTTTTATTTCGAAAGAATTTTAAATGAATTTTTTAGACAATCGATACGAACTAATTATGATAAACCATTAAGTTTACGTTTACAAAGAATATTAAAAGAAATGAAAGAGAAATCACAAATGATTGGAAATAAAGAACGAATAACAACAGGTTTGTATTAATATTTTTATATGAACAAAATCATTTGTTAGTGACCTAACTTCGCAAAATTAAAACACGCATATCTTCGGATAACGAATCTTCCTGGAGTTAAGTTTTATATATTACATGTATAATACGTAAGTTATTCTAGATACTCGGAAAAAATCAATGCTAGAGACCATCGTTTAGAAGAGTTATTAGTATAAAAACTAATGTAAAAAATGCCAGCGACTTTCACTTCATGCATTTTACTCTAAAAAAGTTTCAAATTGAGGTAGCAGTTTTGAAAACTATATAGTACATTTTGTAGACAACTTCTGAGGCTACGAAATCTCTATTCGAAGTTTTTCTGAGTATGTTGAAATTTTTGCAAAAAAAAAACCGATTTACTTTTTGTTAGCGGCATGACGGAGTACGAATATATATACGAAAAAATGCTATTATACTCGAATGAGAAGTTCAAAACCAATTACCAACAGCACAAATCCTTCTTTAGAATCTCTAGAGGATGATAAGACAAAAATTAGTATTTTGTGACTTGGTAGGAGGATCTCTAGAAAATTGGTTTTTTAAGACGAAGTTTCTTTTGGAGCCGGATCTTGCTGAAAAATGCACCATAGATGCGATTCATGCCGTAGAATCTATCCTGAAGTTTTTGGATTTTTTTCTTTTATGGCTAAAGATATATTCGCTGGTCACTTTTTAATTAATCGCCAAATAAAAGTGTCAACATTTTTACATATATCCATGTTGAAAGAACTTATTCAGAAAAATAATCCTTGTAAAGAATCAAACTCAAATGAAAGGTTGATATGCCTTCATTTTGCTTGAAATAGCCCATGTAGACTAAAACTAATTTCCTTTCGAGGAAAAAAAAGAAAATACGTATTCTATTGTAGTTAAATTCTTAATTATAATACTTTCTATCCAGGAATAAATATCTCAACAACAACAACAACAACAATAACAACAACGACAACAAAGAATTCTTTATTCATCAATGGATTAAAATTAAATTTAACTGATGATTTAGATGATTATCCAGATGACAATGAATTTGATTATACTGATTATGCATATGAAGATACAATAGATGAATTACCTTTATCTATAAAAACAACAAGTTCAACAACTTTGCAATCATCAAGTATTTCTGTTTATGATGACCTATTAAATGATGATATAAATACTGTTGCATATTATGATTATGGTGAACAAGATGCATATAATGATGATGAAATCGATGATACATACACTCAAAAATCATCTTCAATGTCTACAATATTAACAACAACTACTATAGTTCATATTCCACCATATCATCAACGACGACCTATTATTTGGAATATTAATATTGATGATGACTCTGATCAACAATCACAACAACAATATAACAGTAGTATTTCTCATAATTATTCATTTCTTTTATTATTATTATTATTATTATTATTATTATTATTAATCTTTATTCTCAAATAATTTTTCATCCGTTATTTGTTTGTTTTGAATCCTTATTTTCGTATATTTAAATATAAAAAAAAAAGAAAATCTATCATCTCGTCTCATTTTATTAAAGAAAAACTTAGTCAGTGAAAAAAATTCTCAACAAAACAAGCCTAACAATTCTGATTTCGAGATATTAAAACCAATTGTTGCTTGCATATATGTTCATAAAAAAGAAGTTTTTTGTTACTAGTTTACATCATTGAGTAATGTTTTTTTTATCAAACATAGAAAAAAAAGGTAAGTTGATTTTTGTCTTGTTGTCAGTACATCATAAAAATTCTTGAGTTTTTTTTTTATATAGACTATTAAATAAGACTAATGAAGTGTTCTTGTGGTTGAAGATTTCAATTTTATTTGACACTTTTTGCTTTAGATTTGTACTTAAGACTTCGTACACATCTAACCTTCATGAATTGACATATGCGCACTAGCTTGAAGTTTTAACATATGATTATGCATTAGTTAAGAGTCGTATTATTTTTAAAGCTTGTCATATGATTTATTTTATACAAGAAAACAGTTTATTTAGGTTTTGGGTGCGAATGTTAGTTAATGTCCTTCGATAATGATTTTTTCCGTCCTGTTTTCCACAAGAATCGGGAGCGATATTAGAAATGGGCGTTCACGAAAATTGTCTTATTTTGTTTTTATATGTATTAATATATTTTTATGCAACAAATTTCTATTATTAATAACTATTTTTATATATAATAAGCCATCCAAAAGTCTTTGAAAAAGTACCGAGACCCATTTTTTAACAGTCGAATATCGAATTGATCTGAACTTTTTTGTTTGAAAGAGTAAAGTCTAGAGCATGAAACTTGCCACGATTCGATCTTGAGTACTTTTTAATAAAACGAATAATGTTTTCAGATAGAATTCTTTGAGTTCTATTGATTTCACCCCTCATTAGCACGGTTCTAATAAGTCCTTCATTGTAACAGTGCTAATTAGTCTTTTGTTGCTATGCAACGCTGACAGACTTCAGGAACACCTGTCACGATTCGTTCCAAAGCCGATTACAACAAAACCAATTATGGTTCCAAATAAATCTCGATGCGCTCGCTGTTGGAAATTCATTGGGTTTGTAGGAAAGTCCTCAGGATCAAATCGTGACATAGTTGAGCAATTCGACTAAAGAACGAATGGTTCATTAGCCGGTTTCTGAATAATAAGACAAATAAATCAAGTTAATAAAGTGTGGAACTGATAGAGCTCAGCCAGTTTTATCTGATAACATCATTCGTCTAGTTGGAAAATGCTCAGCGGCGAATTGTGACAGGTTTAGCAAATTGACTAGGGAACTAAGAAATTATGAGCAGGTTTCTCAACGATGGAAGAAAAGAATTGAGCTGTTAACGCACCGAGTTTTATGGAAATTGGCTGTGATTTTTCATGTTTCTAGATAGTAATTAGCATTTTTCTCTATGTTAATATATTTGGTTTGAACGCGTGACACATAGTATGGATAGAGCATATCGAGTTCTACCTGGAAACCAATTGAGTTGCTTTGGAAAGTGGTTGAGAACGAGTCCATTGAGGAAATACTCGAATACTGACCTTTGATATCCTACGTCAACGAAATGTTTATCATCGATTTAGTTTTGTTCAAAGAAACGGAAAGATGTTGTTGCATTATTGATTGGTGAAACTGGTCAGTAACTAATGTCAATACTAATCAAATCAACAAATAGAACACAGTAGCACTGTAAAAAAAGAAAGACGAAGATGACAAGAACAATTTTTTTATTCAAATTATTATTAACATGTGTAATTTTGGTTCTTAGTATTTTTGGTTGGCTAAAATACACATCGAACATGAGAAAATCTTTTGAAGATCTATATTATGAACTGAAGTTTGCTATTGCAGTGATAACAAAAGAACTTTGATCTACAGCACAACTAAGAATAATAACACTATGGAACATATGGTCCACAATTAAAGTTGTTCACTTGGCTTTTCTGCTGTTTTTATTACTATCTGTTCCAGATATGCTAGATTATTTGAAAAAATGATAGATTAAATTTGCGAAACTCTCCTAGACTTGTATTTTGTTTCTTATTATTTTATCTTTGTTTTTTGTTATGTGTAGAATAAGGATGTTTGTACATATATATATTCAAACAAATAAAACCTTTCATCAGACCAAAAATGTTTAAAGGTGTAGATGGTGTGGGTATGGATTGGATGTGTGAGGGGGAGGTATCTATTCTACACACCTACACCACACCCACATCCAAGATATATATTGTCAAACGAGAAGACAAAACAAATCAATCAAAGATCACATAGCATATATTACCATAAAGAAGAACGAGCACTAGTCATCCAAACAAAAAAAAAAGGACACCGAAAAATCCGACTTCCCGAACAACATAGAGCACTCAGACTCAACATTAGTTAGAAAATATGTAAAAGAAGATTTAACAAACTACATTGACTAAATTTAGATCTCACAATCTTATTTATGATCTTTAGATCATTTGAATAGTTACTCAGTCAAAACTATCTGATCAGATCCTTAAGCAAGATCGAAACACGTCACAGTATGCTTTGACATATCCACACCCACATTAGATTCGACGAGCCTTCTGATGGCAAACCACGATTTAACGACTGACAAATATCATTTTTAACAGTCTAAATATCAGAATGGGACTTATTCATTTGATATGTCACTGAAAATTAATCGAAGAAAAGTGAGTTGACTAGTCTAAAGTGTCGTCAACATATTTAATGAATCCATCTTTTTATATATTTCATTACATTCCGTATACAACTTTGCAATTATCTTTGCTTCATATCAAAAGGTTTCTTGAGATCTCTCTGGAGAATAAACATCTGTACTTTTTTATACCTAAAGTACAATATTATTTTGAAGCACGAATATGTACATAACAATACAATATAGTCTGATTCAGAGCTGCCACCTTTTCTGCTTTTTGAAGTTTTTTCTGTTTTTTTTATCGTTTCTGCTTTTTTTGATACGGCGTTATTTATCATTTCAATCAACATTTTTCACCTGAAATACCTTCGTTTCCATAATTATTAAAAAACCGTATCAAAAACTACTGATATTTTTGTGCCATTCTAATTCTTTCTATTTGATACAGATGATTTTTATTTTCTACTGACTATAAACAACTACCAATCTATATATTTGGCTTCAAATCAATTCTTTAAGGAAAGGAATAGAAAAAACAGCTCTAGGTGTTAATGGCAGCTCGACTAGCAAAGAAAGTATTCACAAAGCAATGATAGTTGCTGAAGTAATAATTATGTCATCAGGAGCTAAACCAGAAAACAGAAATTGAATAGAGTTATCTTCAACAGAGAATGGTTCAAAGTCGTCGAATATTAATGATCTTTAAAAGAATATAAATTTGATCCGTCTCAACTAACATTTATCGTTTGTCATCAACAGTTTTCCGAACATTGCTAATAAAAAGCTAATATTGATTAGGTAAAAAAGATTTGTCAAAAGCTCTTAAATCAGATGAAGAATACTTCTTAAAAAGAAAATATATTCAATGATTCTGTCCATTTGTTAATTAGTTGCGTTTTGTGATGCCATACAATGCGAGTGATTAGTATACTGAAACTAAAATTTAAAACTAACGGGTAGCCCGTAATAAAAGAGGGTCTCAGTATTTTGTTAACATCTTAAGCGTTATCTTATCGCTCACGCTTTATTTTTTTTATCGAAAGATTCGCTGTCTGATTCTGCAGAAACTGGTATATTTCGCTGTAAAAAACATTTATCTCTCTTTCAACATCATCATGATTTAAAACAAGCATTACACACAACTTTCAAAGTCTTCATTTTTTCAATTTTTTTCCAAAATTTCCAGTTTCTCAATTAATCCTGTTACTTTGGGTATAATTTGTTCGCCACTCAAGATATAAATTGGTTCATTTCAATCAACGTACCAAAGGCAATTGAATGCAGATCAAATCAAGATATTGATATACATTCATTATGATTTATTTATATCATATTCTATTAAAAGAGCCAATACTTTCGAAGTTGAAATTCTTTCTTTTATATTTCTAATAAATCTAACAATTATAAAAAGTTTTAATATTATGTGCTTCCACTTAGATTTGGATATTGAAAAAAATATAGAATTACAAACAGGAGGGAACTTAGTGTCAGTTTACGATCGAAACACAAGCTTCTGAATAGTGATTCTAAACTAGTAACCTCCAATGTTGTTCTATTGGGTATTCCATAAAATATTTGTGTACATTCATACATTCACTCATTTATCGATATAGGCCCCAAATAGACTACTCAAATAAAATATGAATGAAAATTGAATTAAGAAGTGTGACTGGTGCATTCAGAGTTAACTCATCTTTTTGAGACGAGTTAGCTTTTAATGCACCATCATATTCCTGAGTTCGACTTTAATGTTAGTTCACTTTCCTAGTCTATTAGATCTTCAAAGTAGATGAAAAATTTGAGCAATCTTATTCAGAAATAGGATCAAACAGAAGAAAACTGGTACATTTAGTTTCATGAACAAAATGTTCGAACGAAGTACATTGTTGTTCAGTTAATAAAAGAAAGATACCTGTGACGCGATCGATGAATCAAAAAGTTAATGAGATGAGAGTGCATTTTATCCTACTATTTGAGGTCATTTCTGTGAATAATCCTACTATTATTTTATGTCCAACTAGTACATAGTTCATTTTGATTGAACTGCGCAAGTAATACAATAACAAAGAATCTCCGACAAGAGTAAGTTTCTCAACCTAAGAAGCTTAATAGCGATAAATATTTATTCTAGATATTTTTTTCGCTGGTTTTTCTGTACAGAATATTCAAAAAAGATGTTATTAGTTAACGAACACTATTTATCTGTCTCTCTGCGCTTTATCCTATTGTTGCCCGCGCTGTTCTTTGTGTCAGTGTCATTGTTCTGTTCTTCCATTGTCTTGAGAAAGCATAAATCACAATAGACAT